TTTTTTTTTTTTTTTTTTTTTGCTTTTTACTTTTTTAAGATCAAAGTGAACATAGACGAAGCACAATCGATTAATCCAGCAAAATACGATAAAGCTGAAGATTTAACATCACTACAGTATCTGAACGAAGCATCCGTTTTGTATACATTACGACAACGATTTAGTGCATTATTAACCTATGTAACTGTTTATGCATTTCTTTGTTTTCATTTGTTTTTTTTTTTTTTTCGCTATTAGTTTATAGATGGTGTAAAAACCTAACAAAAAAAAAAATGATAATTAGAAGTTTTTGTAACAATACTAATAATAGCATTTCAAATTATTGTATCAAATACCTTAGTGAATTATTTAGAAAAAAAATCAGTTAATTAAAAGCAATATCTAGGTTGTGTTTTTTTTTTTTTGATCTTATTTTTTTACAACTGTTAACAGAATATTCAACAATTTGTAGACGTATGCTGGTTCAGTATGTATATTTTTAAATCCATACAAGCAGTTACCAATCTATACAGAAACTGTTGCAAATATGTATCTGGGACAGCGACGATCAGAAATGCCGCCACATTTATTTGCAATAGCTGATCAAGCATATCGGAATATGATTCACGGTACGATGCTAATTGTTTATGTTTCTGTAGAAGAAAAAATTTTTTTCTTTCTTTTTTTGCTTTTAGATTTTCTTTTGACATTAAAATTGGACACTATTTTTTGCTGTGATAAATGAGAGAAAACAGCATACTAAAATAAGATGGCTAAAGGAAACAATGAATATTGCAGAAAAACGTAATCAATCGTTGATTATAACTGGAGAATCTGGTTCTGGTAAAACCGAGAATACAAAAGAAGCAATTGTTTATTATACTCGAATTGGTCAAAATAATATCGGTGGTACAAGGGAAAAAAGAGCAGTACGCTTTCAAGACCAACTTGTACGCACCTTTGCACAATAACTCACATATCCACCAATTGGTTATTCAATTTTGTTGACACTCTGTTTTATTCCTATCAATTGCAATTTAGAGACTTTAAATACTGTGATCATCATCGTTGTTGGCCGCCATCGTCGTCGTCAGCTACATCAATACCCTTAGCACAGATTGCACAA